GTAGGTCGGGCATGGTTGACCAACCTGAGGCATAGTCTAGCTTCCACTTGCGTGCTTGTCCTTGTTCTGCATCCGGCTTGGGTTTAAGCCCAAGTTCCATTCCATGCTAGCTGGTGGAGTACCCATGTCCTCGCGTTAGGCCACCGGTATGCTGAAATAGCGCCAGACTCTGTTTGGCTCCATTTTGCATGCTAATCCTGGCATTGGGATGCTGGTTGCTCTAGGACTGTTCCAAGTCGCTCCGAGCTCCTGTCCGTTCGCTCCTTGGGCTGTACGCTCGGGAGTTGCTCTGTGGTCCGGTTCTGTCACTCCTTGGCTCGATGCTGGGGAGTTTGGCACCTGTAAGCAACCAAAGGGAACAACTCGAGAGACGATCCATAGGGGTTCAAATATAGAGGGAAAGGGCCCATGAACAAGAGTGCACCCCCTTTTTCAATCGGTTAAGGGTCTTGGGATATTTGGGGTTAAACGTTTTTGGGTTTGAATAGTACTAGGCTGGGTGACCTCCCGGGAAGTCCAAATTTAGGAGCTTACAGCACCGTTCCTTCGTTTAATGGCCCAAGGCCCTGAACCTCGGATTCCGCACCACATTCCTTTGGACACATGGCATGTGACATGTGGCATCTGTCACGTGGCATAAAGAGGGTTTAGGTTCTGCTTCGTGGTGTTATCCTATGGTAAATCATATCAAAACCACGTGCGCTACAAGGGTGATTAGGTGGTGAGGAATTTTAAGAATAGGTATAATATAGGCAAAGTTAGGACTTTTTATCTTTGTTGTTTAATGCTAGATCATAATATGTCATCCATCCTTGAGCTGCTCTACTCCATTGCTCATATCCCTCCTTAGGATTAATTAAGGCTAATTGACATGCTAATCCTATACTTAGCTTTAAACCCCACTCATCCTTGAGGCACTCTACTCCATTGCCTTTAAATTAATTAGGGTTCATTGACTTGTTAATCCCATATTTAGATTGTAAATGAGGTTATGGTGTTATGAACTTGAATTTAAACTTACCAGAAAGTTACTTAACCCAGTATTATTCAAACTTAAGGATAATTAACCCCAAATAACCTAAAACCTTTAACCAATTGGAAAAGGAAGTGCACTAGGCCCTTTCCCTTTATATTTGAGCTTTTATGGATCATCTCTCAAATTGTTTTTTTTAGTTGCTTACACTTGGTGCATAAATTGCAAATGTGTGTTAATATGGATTTTAAAGAGATTGAGGTTGTACTTTCTTTGTTTATGCTATAGAATCCTATGGAAGGCTAAGGGACAGATATTGGTTATGTTAGGAATCTAGAATTAAGATTAGGGGTAATACTTTAGGACCTCAAAGGGAAAGCTAACTTGGTATATAGTTTGTGGGATGTGTAATGAGTAGCCTAAGGTTTAGTTCCATAATAGGTTTGGAAGAGGAAATATTATTTAGATGTGAGAGAACATAGGGTTTAGACCAAGGACTTAGACATTTTCTTTACTTTTCCTTTTTGACAAGTGAAATAGAAAGAATATATTATTTGCAGCAGTTGCATATTCATAATTAGTTTTAGAAATTTATCATATTTAAAACTAGTAGCCCATGGACTTCAATCTGAATAAGAAAATTGTCTTGAGACTCTAACCAAAAGCATTCTTTAATATTAACAGAGATGAGAACTATGATCCAAATTTAGGCCCCATAAGAAGGAATCTATTATCTATCTATTCTATCTTTGCAACTAAAGTAAAGAGTTGAAAACTCTTACTTTGAAGCTCAACTATTTTCAGAATATGGCTTTCCATGCTTTTTCTATGGTTATAACCCACCACAAAACAACAAAGATAAAAGTGTCTAGCCTCACCTAAACTATGATATACTTCTTTACCACCCAACCACACCCAAAGTACCTCAAAAACTCCACCCCACCACCACTGTCATGGGCATCTAGGATAAGTTAAGTATCCTTAACCCTTAGACATTTGACCGATGTTAACATGTGGTCAAAGCTGGTGCATAACAATTCTTCTTCTAACAAAGTCCTTGTCTAAGGATGAGTTGCACTAATGGTCAAGGAACTCCGCTCAAGCTTTTGGTTTATCATCCACAACCGTATACATCAAGGAGCTACTAGACCCTTCACTCCAAGATAATATACCTTTCAATTGATAAACATAAAATAGATGAATCCAATAGAAGCTTGTTAATATAAAGCAAATGAACATCCTCATGAAGGTGGAAATGTCCCAAAGAAGGTGGTAGAGCTGCAACACTTGGATCAATGTAGTACTTACAAAATAGATAGCAATAAAAAGATAAGGATTTTATTGGGAAGAGAGTGTTCACTTGAGAACACAATCAGCTTGATTGCGAAAACTAGATTCAATGTGAGAATATCTTCTCCATAATTTCTTATGATTAAGCTATCAATGCCCATGGTTGATAGAGCTTATGAAACTATAGTGTAGCTCTTATATTCCTCAACCAAGAGCTCTCTCTCTTTGGTGTATGTCTGTGTGTGTGTGTGTGTGTGTGTGAGAGAGAGAGAGAGAGAGAGAGAGAGCTTGCAGCTCAAAATGTGCCTGATTGCCTTAAAAAAATTCACTTGATTTAGAGTGTCATTATAATCAAAATTGAAGAATTGCCACCCTTTTGGCACATGATCTATGCTGTCTCTTTGAAGTTTTGAAATTTTTAACCATTAGACCAAAAGTATATTCCTAGCTAAAAAAGGAATATATGATGAGATGCTAGATGAAAATAGCAGATTTAGATAAGTGAGTATGATATGAGTATGATGATGATGATTCTACAGAAGTTGTCATCTATAAAGGAGAAAACTTGTCACATTCAATCCATACCTATATCAAAATCCTACCTTCTGCATCAAAACTTTTATTCATCAACTATTTGCAGGCATTGGAGCTTCCTTTAGCCTTTCTATAAACCCTTGATAGTCTTCAAGATGACAGCTATCAAGTTTATATGGCTACCTCTACTCTAGCATAACCTATATTGAGCACATGGAACTTTATAAGTGTAAAATTTCAAGAATTTTGACTTATAAATGTAATAATTGTTGGATTCAGTGTGAGAAGATTTCTAGCTGCACATGGGCAAAAATTTCTAGTGAGCAGCACAGCACACATGGGTGAAGATTTCTAGTGAGCGGCATAGCCCACATGGGCAAAGATTTCCAGTAGTGGTGTGGGTGTAGCGGTACAGCACACACAGGTGAAGATTTCTGGAGGTGGTGTGGGTGGTGTTGAGTGGCATGGACTAGGATTGTGTGGTGGCAGGGAGCTAGTAGAGGAGCGGTGCTGCACTAGTGGGCAGCAGTGCACAGTATGGTGGGAGGTGGGAGGAGTGGTGGTGGGTTTCCTGAGTGTGGTGGTGGGAGGATTGGTTGTGAGAGTGGCAGGATGGCAGAGGAATGTGGCAATGGTGGTAGCAGAAGACAATGAAGTTGGTGAGTCTGAGGAAGATAAGGCAAGAGAAGCAGGGGAAGATGATGGCATAGTCGATAAGGATATGGAAGTCGAGCAACTTCTTATGGTGCTAGGTGAAGCTAGATGAAACTCAGGTTCCAATTATGAAGCAGAAGAGGTTATTCAAGCTCAACTTCCAAAGCTATGCAAGTGCTCTTGACAAGCTTTACGAGCTCAAGATCAAGGCTAAGATACCATGTATGTGGAATGGTTTCTTGAAGCTCTACAAGGAAAAGGGTATGGCTTTACCTGATAGATGGTATATGTGTTTGGTAACTGCTCAACATCCACATCATCCAATTTCTCACCCTCCAGCTGCTGAAGATCCTTTGGGGCGATGTTTCTCTTTAAGCCATCCAGGTAAGCTATCACTCTTGATGTCCTAACTATTTGATGAATTCAACAATGTGTGAGAAAAAGGCATTGACTGGTTCCATGTGCCATTAATGCAAGAGCTTTGTCGTCTTTACATGACAGGATCCTCACTACACTATGCTTACATTCCTCCTGAGCTTTAGCATTTGCAAAGTGATAAAAGTTTTTTCCTTTTTGGAGTAGAAAGTCTTGTTTTCTTATTTCTAGGTGGATGATGCTGTTTCAACTCGAGCAATATTTTCTTCCATACTGGTGATCATGTTGCTCAAGCGAAAATAGGACTTGCCAAAAGTTGTGGCAGAAACTTCAGTTGGAGGTCTAAGCCTGAGTTTGCGCTCAGAGGCACACAGTACATATATGGCAACAATGGGGTGTTGTTTTTTCTATTTACATCTCTTTGAAGTGCTTTTCTGGTGATTATACATTCAAGCACCTTGCTAGGGCATATGCCCCTTTGTTGGAGGTACGAGATGAGCCTGTAGCGGTCAACAATGAGCCCGTAGAAAAAAGTGAAGCGGCACATGTCGACAATGAGATGGACACAGGTGGATCCGACGTGGCAGGAAGAATGGGTTTACGGGCAATGGGACTTCCTGGGATGCAGGGGCAAGAAAAGGGGTGGGGGGAGCTAGGGCTGGGGGAGGATTCGCTTGACAAGCAAGGGCGATCAAGATCTGAGCACAGCGAGGGCTTTGACCTGGTGTGGACTCCAGTAAGCCTCACCCGGGCTTACACCCGTTTTAGAACCACTACACTGGTCTGTTGATCAGTTTGAAATCAGCTATGGTGGCTGATTGAGTGATTTGGAGTGTCACTCATATCTATTTTAAGCTGTGGTGGCTTGTTTTTGTGACAAGGGAGGGATGGTGAAGGAGAAGCATAGAAAGCTAAGTATGTTGAAGAGCTCATCATGCTGAACATATGCTATCTGTGTGTGGCAGAAAAAATAAAAAGCAAACGAAGATGCAACTAGAGGATCAGCTTTGTGGAGCATCATCGTGATCCAGGGTTAGGTCATATGAGTACGCCCTGTGTTGGTGATTGTTTACGTTTTCCCCTTATAGTTCCATCAAGCTTTGCTAGATAGAGAGAAAGAACATACCTTAAGGAAGCTCCGGGACTCCAGCGAGATATTCTTCACGTTGTTGCATCATCCTAAAGCATAAATTAATTGAAAGGTCTTTGAGGCTTCAGCTGGCGGCCAGATAAAAATGCGAGATTCATACACAGTAATAATAACAAACGCGTCAACCAATAGCAGCATTGTGAGCAGCAGGAGGAAGATGGTCGTGGAGTGGTCACACGGAGCAGAGCACTTATTCTGAGGTCCTGCCACAAGATCGCACTGCCCTAATACAGGGACATAAGAAACGACATCACTTTCTAACATGTTGGGAGATTACCTTTTATCTTTCAGCCGTTGACTAGATTTGACCGTACACCTCAGATACCAAATTCCCTTACAGTTTTCTAGAAAAGGAATGATGATGGTCACGGATGTAAAATAGGCGACCTCCTCAGTTGTTTGTTGGAGTGTGCTAGACGTTTCTGTAGGTGAATGTCCATTTATATAATGTGTGGAGCATGGTATAAATTGATTGGCACCTCTGAGACTTGATGGGCACGAATAAACTGTTTTTCCACTCCTGAACCTCTTGTATGCCGAACCTGCAAGCTAAACAACCAGAAAATGAAACAAAAGAAACCATTCCCACTCTTTCTTTAATATAAGAATACATTTTCTTAATGCAATGTACCATCATAAAGCTTCAATCTATGTCAATATCAGCTAATTCAATTTCTTCAAGTTTACCAAGGCCTTTCATGTTCTGCACATTCTTACTTTAAAGAGTGTAAAATTTCAGTAGGCTACCTCAAGGTATTGATGAGGCTCGTCTAAGCTAGTAGAACCCAAAATGACTTCCCGTCTTAATTTTAAAGTTAGCTTGTGCATAGCTTTTAGCTGTTGATCAGAAGGTTTAGTCGTTGCCTTGAAATATAAAACACAGACCTCCACTCTAGTTGTACCTCCAATAATAAACACGAAGATTCTTTTGCCTTCAACGTTGGCACTTGATGCCGTCTCACTGACAAAACATCTTTAGTCCATCGATTATCATAATCCGACATTTACCTTCCAGGGTTATCATCTGTTGCGTTTTTTGTTGCCCACGTAGACTTCCTTGTACGCATGGACTGTGGAACCTTATGACTGGTAGCAGGTGTAGAAGTGTTTGGCATGGATATAGGAACGGGCTCTTTAACAAATGGAAAATCTTCTTTTGATAGCTCTCCCTTGTGGAGCGCCCAAACGATGTCCTAAAATTCATCAAAGATTTCTAAATAAGCTCTTAACTTGCCTGGCCATTACCTCAATCACGGGATAGAAACGAGAAAAATCCCAAGTATCAATGTCCTCTTTTTTTACTTTTCTTGATGGTGCCTACCATTGAGAGATCGCCCAAGAAACACAAAATACAAAATATTTTTGGGATACCTTACGACTTGATTTGAAAAAGCCGCCAGAGTGTTTATCTAATAGAGGGACACCGAGAAATCGTAGATTGTTAATAATATTCATGTCAGTTTCTCCCAGTTTAGCTAGCTGCACGAGTTAACCATGAAATTTTAGCAGAAACCAAATAAGAGCGACCTTCATCCACTGTTGACGCTTGATGGCATCCAGTTTATCAGGATGTGCACTCGCATATATAAGCAGCAACCGTAGTTTGTTTTCCAGAGACATATCCTGTAGGCAGTAATTTAATAAACAGTAGATCACATGAGAACTAACCGGCTTGATGTTGAAGAGTCTGACTAGCTCTTTACTTGATCCTCCTCCAAAGGCAAAATCTTGTTCCAGAGCGGCTATGTCGCTAAGCGATTGTTCAGATATTTTTTCGTTCAACACGGTTGCAATCTGTGTGGTACATACAGTATATTCAAGTGGCTGAACATAAAAAAAAATTAAGAAAATAGTACCTGAATATGAAGACTTAACTTGTCGAGTTGCTCACGAAATTGAGGTAGAGCCTGGACCAGCTTTTGCATGTCTCTTGTCGATATATCCTGACCCTCCCTATTAACGTACACAGTCATTCATCCAGGTGTCTTCGAGAATATAAACGTACTTTGCACCCAGACGAATTTGTGCCGCCTTATTCTTTGAACCAAACTGATTCATCTTGTCAGTTAATTTCAAATTTGCCTGTAGAGCTAGAGAGTTTAGGACAAGACCAGAAGATTTTTTAACAACCTCTGCAATGTGTAGATGACGCAGTTCAACCCAAATTGGATCATGCTCTTCAAGAAGCACTTCTTTCCGTTCCAACTTGTCTCCAGTTGTTATCTTCAGAAAAGAAAAGCGCTTCAGGGCGGCAAGAACTATAATCCTCACCTCATAAACGTATTTGTTGCCTTCGATGCCTAGAAGATCATGGCACATAGCATCATACGTCCACTCATGTATAAATGGCGCAACCTAAACGACCCATGGAAAATGGTGGTCCTAACGTTGCATCTTACCGTATCAATACTTCGATCAAGAATTAAGAGGTCGCAAGTTTCGGATTTGGGAAAGTCAGCAAGAGCTGATTTGTACTTTGCTAATCGTTCTGAAAGTACTGCAGCAACCTTAGCTGAAAGCAAATTACGTGCGGCTGGAAGTTCATCTTCTGAACTTTGAGCTTTAGGGGCTCCAAATCGCACACTAGGATACTCCTAAAAGTAAAGTCATCAAACAAAATATTAAGAGCATAGACTCGGACTTACTAACCTTTAGGGATACGAAAACAGTAGCTAGGCGGGTACCTATCGTGTCGATCATTTCTTCATAATCTGAAGAGGTATCGCTATTCTCCCCAAAAAGTTGTTCCAAAGCCATGGCATTAGCAGTTACAAATCCCTATATATAAACTTCATTACGTTGACACAAACAATCAGGAAGACCACCTGTGAATCGATGGTTATATACTCCAAGTTCATCTGTTGTCGTGACAATGAAAATCCATACAATTAGTTATAAGCTACCTCTTTAAGTGCTGCAAGGCGTTGAATCACTGTTTTCTCGCTTTTGATAATATTGAGGAGATCTGGTGTAAGAGATGAACTTAAGAAGATGTAAGCCCTGAAACCACCAGTTCTCTCTGAGATCAAGCCAAATCGCTTAAAGATTAGCTGGTCACCTCTTATATAAAGGAAACTTTCCTGACATATCGCTGATGATTTTGGTAATGCTGGCACACAACCAGTTTTGAAAATGTGGATGCACTTCTCTACAATACCTCTCGTTTGTAGCTCTTACAAAGTACACCGCTTCAAGAGTTGGCATTGGTTGCCTTTTCTTGTTCAGATCCTCAACCACTGCGAGAAGAAATTTAGTAATGCTTTGCCAGCTAGAATGTAAGCGCACATGAGATGCCTTCATCGGTTATATCGGCCATCTTACACGAAGATGACATGACTCTGACAGTCAGCTCATCGATGACAAGAACCTGATAATGAAGGTACAAATACGAAACTAAACAAAATCAGAAAGAACCTTCCAATCGTTTGGGCTGTCACCACTCTTGACGCTGTGAAGCATCTCCTTTAGCAGTCCTGAAATACCTCAACAAGTCGACCTGTAAAACATAAATTTCAAACAAAATGTACTCACGCTCCCGTGTTGAATGGCGGAAAGACTTGTAAGGAGCTCTTGCTGACGATCCACTGCCTTCTGCCATGGAAAGTAAGAGGAAAACCCTAATCTCTTGACACCGACAGCACATAGGAGAATATGTTTTGTTGCCACTTGGCAATGTCCAACGAGATTTGAAGTGCCGCGGCAGAAATGACGGTGCGATAGAATGTTTAAGAGTGCACACAACACACACACACACACACACACACACACAGAGATGGATTTAGCTCCTGCAAGACCATGGGTTCCAAAAGAACACACTTACTTGGATGCATACAAGAGGCGGATGTACAAACCTTACTACATGAAGCCGAAGTTTGACATTTCAGAAGCACGCGGGTTCATGGAAACCTTTGAGACACATGAACCCCAGGTAACTCTTTGAGCTAGCATGCTTTACCTTGCAAACCTGCATATCTATTCATTTCAGTTTAGACCCATTAGGAAGTACATAAATCCCGAAAACGGGTATGAGACACCTTGGAAAAGTTGCCGTGGCAGCGGACAGTTTGACATTCAGAGTCGGGTCATTCATGTAGGCAAAAATGGAAGCATTGTAACGCCATCAGGCGAGGTAAGACGACATGAGCACAGTTTGTCGGGCTAAATTTGTCATGCTATGTAGTGGTGGAAGAAGGGTAAACGGTATTTAATACCAACAAGCGGTTCTTGGTCAGAACCAGCGTTCAAACCATCACTACGCTACATTCGCGCAAGTCTTAGTGACGATCAAATATGGAGGCCCTGCATTCGAGTTTACAGAGTGGCAAGGCCTCACTATTTCAACTCCAGACCAATACGACGTCGTTATCTTCCTCAGCAACCTGGCTACGATGACAAGTACGAGCGCCTGACTTCAAATGATGCTTATTCTGGAATATATCACCCCCGAAAGATCACCAGCATCAAGCCAGAATGGCTGGGCTTTTCCAACAACGGAGTTCCATATGTAAGCTAGTTTCGCTTATGACCATCAATTTTCTGTTTTCTTTGTCGCTTCAGCTGCGGCCTTTCAGAAAAGGAGTCACAATGTACTTGCGTCGGCATCCACATATGTGCTTGTTTTCACCTGATCCACCTATTATAGTCGGTACACTTTCAATTTTGGGCAAGAATTTACCTTTGGCTAATGCAGAGAAAATCACTGACGAAGAAGGTTACTGACTATTTTCATAAACACCCACAGTTGCAGCTCTTTAGTGCTGACTTTCGACCTGAGCTTACAAGTAAGTTCACCTTTTGTGGCGACGGTAACCTCATGATTGAGACCGTGCAGGAAGTCATCCATCATATGTTTCTACAACTAGATACAACGCTGGAGGACGTTACGATCACTTTGAGGACCGTAGCGTAAGACAATTAAAGATTTAGTGCCTCTTAACGTACCGTGTTCTTGTGGCAGTTCACAATACAGCCAGATGTACGGCTACCAGAACCCCTTGGAGCTCAACCCGTTCCTGATCACAGTCCTCGTATGATCCACAATCAGTATTTGATGTAATTCTTTCAGGTCTCTTCATAGTTAACCCATAAGTGCTGACTACGCAGCCTATTCAGAGGTCAAACCCATGCCAAGTCTTGCTGGGGATATAGTGGGTATTGATATTTTTGAGGCCAAGCCCACCAGGCTGATGGTACGTCATTATTAGCCTTTTGCTATTTATCCATATAGAATGATCTAATGCTTCTTTCTTCTCCAGAGTCCACGACTGTCTCAAAAGCCTTCTGTAACTTTAAGTTCAAATGTAAGTCCTATATCTTTTCTTCCTCCATTTTAGGATCTGATAAGAAGTTTCTGCGGTTGGTAAAAATTAAAAATGAAAAACGAGGAAGGTAAAAATTCATCCATGATCCTTTTGTGTTGCTAAATGTATCCAGTACAAGTGTAACTAATATGAGTACTTTACTCTTATTTTATTTGAGCTTTATAATGTGTTGCAGGAAGGCACGAATCAAAAACATCAGGAGAAAAGGCCACAATCCGTACTGGTGCATTATGATAATTTATGATCATTATGTATATTCCTGACTTAGATTTTTACAGAATACTCAGGAGGGAATCCAGAAAAAGAAAGGGATGGAACAGGTAAACTTTCAAAATAGCCGAGGCTTCAAATCATGTCGTAGGTACTTGGTCCAGAACGTTCACTCAAGATTTATGACAGAGTATATGAGGTCTTTCAGGCCGAAGTATCTGGTGAGCTTTTTTCAATATTGTTCAGAACGAATGTTTTATAATTCTTCACAGCCTGAGAAAGCTAAAGCATCGCTACAGCCATGGACTGCTTAAAGGTCTGCTTAAGGACAAAAATTCTGCAGTGTCATAAAGCACATCTTCACATTCAGCAAGGCATCATCGCCTGTCCTTCTCTTTCAGAAATAATATTCCTTCCCTGGTGTGAATTTTTCAGATTCAATTATACTAAATACTAGCAAAAGTCCCAGCTATGCTGGGAGCATCGTGTTTATTTCTGATGTTTGAGTAATTTCAAAGAGTTGTGATGATAATTGTAATTTTTAGCATAATCATAATGATAACATACATAGTTAAACATAATATAATCTTTATATTAAAAATCCCTTCTACAATTGACACTATCACCAACACACATCATAACATAATAAATATAACTCATAGCATTAAATCACATTTAAAAGCTTGATTGTAAAGCAAAGTCTTGGATCTTTTATAAATGGAATTCCTCACTATGAAATCTCATGGCCAGATGAGTCATTTAAAGATTGAGATTTGGTAAATAATTTCTATTTTATTTGAAATCAATAAAATTGTTTAAAAAATATTATTTCTTGATGATTCATTCAACTCTAAAAGTTTTCCTCTTAATAAAGTATATGCTACATAAAAATACTAAAATATAATGATGTTAAACAATATATATTTAAATCTCACTACAACTATATACATCTTGTAAATTTACAAAATAAAACATTGTTATAGTGCTATATTTTATTTTAATAAAATGTAATAATTTATATTTATCCTTGATATTCTCTTTTTATCCTAATATTTATATTCATGCATTTTGAGATAAATCTTTAAAATTAGAAGTATTCTATCTTTTATCTTATACATATTTTTATATAGAAAGAATGCTAATCTGAAATAAGATTACTATCTCTATTATTAATGTACTTATATTTCAAATTAATGCTTTATAATATTGTTATGAAAGCTAAAATTTTATAATGACAAATGAATGGTAAGGTTTTACTTTATAATGGGATGAAGTAGGGTTTGATGATCTATAATCTTTTTCTTTATGCTACAACTCTAATAAATCAGAAAATTCATGAATGGTATAAAGATAGGTTTAATATAATTAAATTTCAATTGATGGTGAATCAAATTTCTTTATATGGTCCATGTACTAATGTTTTCTTGATCATATTTCTACCTTACTATGTTTTCTATGTATAAATGCAAAGTGAAAAAAAGTGTTAGAAAATTTATGATATTACATGAATCATAGAATATATCTTAGCCACGATATCTCACTGTGTTTAATTTAATCTATATTTTAATATATACCATACAATAACTGATAAAAACAAAATTATTTTACAGAATGTGAGTGCTTGAAATATGGAAAGGGAATACAGAAAATGTGCATATCAATTAGCCCAAAAACTCTAGCTTATATACAGGAGTGAGTGGTCCAAATTGAAACCAATCCGATGGCTACCAAAATCCCATTATGTTAATATTAGTATACGGCATCGTAGCCATACACTTGGCCCTCACATCATCCCCTTTTCTCGAAATAATGGAAAACCGTCAGAGTTCTCTTGTAGATGGGCTAGGATCTGAAGGAACATCAGGAGGAGGCATTGGTGGATTTGTAGGTGGTATCAGCTGCTCCTGATCCCTTTGTATTAAGCGTTTCAACCGCTACACATGCACAATCTCTGGAGGATCAACATGCTAGATGTTATGCCGAACCTCATAAACTTATGGCCTCAATTGTTGCAACACCCTATATAGTCCTTTCCACTGAGCAAGGAGCCCCTTCGATAAACCATGTACTGTAAGATGGGGAAAACGGACCAACACCACTTTGTACTCCGTAGGTGGATAATGATGGGAGTTGTAGTGCCATTTTTGTCCCACTTGTACACGGCCTAAGTGTTCAGTAGACTCTGCTCAGACAAGTGGAAGAATACTCATCAAATACTAATCCCACGACCTAACATCGGTAATTTGTTGCAATTGCGAAGGTAAACCCAATTTGATCATATAAGAGTTTATATGGTGAAGCATCAATAAAACTTTGCACCCTTGTGACATATGCATATCGAAGAGACGGTAAATAACCATCCCAATACAAATGCTGAAAGTTTACATACTTCGCGATCATCCCTTTGAATGTCCAAATGAGTTGTTCCACTAAACCATCTGACTATAGATGATAAACACTCGTAAAAGTGTGGTGTATCCCTAATTGAGACGTCAAAACATGAAATGCCTCAGCTATAAATCAGGACCATTATCCGAAAAAATCCGCTCTGGACAAGAATGCTGGAACACCACTCGATTGAGGAGGAAGTATCCAATAGTAGTTGCAAAGGCGCTAGAAAGAGCACCAACTTCCTGTAAGTCACTTAATCACATCTCCGACCACTTGGAGGAGTCTCACTCACAACCTCCATAAGTCTTATTTTGGACTTAGGGACTTGCTAGCCCTAAGAATGGCATCCATGCCACTCAACCATTGCACTTGGTCCAAGTGCTCCACATGTCCGATCCCATGACCAACACCCCAAGGTACCATCGACATATCAGCCTGTGACGCTAAGGCCATGCCCCTTCACCTTGGTCACACCGGTGGTCTAACACCACCAACATCACAATCCCATCTCTCAAGGATTGGGCCATCCATCCATGAGTGGTCATCCCAGATCCACTTCTTAGCATCCTTAGGATGCCCACAGACATGGGGGTTAGCCTTCCCCAATATCCCTTTTCCAATCCTCACCAAGTCCTTTTCTGTTCATGCCCGAGTTCACCAACACGGCCATTGGATC